CTGATCGGCCGGCTCGGGCATGGCTGCCTGGGCTTCCAAGTGCTGAACCACTCGGGACATCAAGTTCTCCATCTGGTAGAGGCGCTGCTCCATCGCAAGGACATGCGGGTTGTTCTCCTCTGGGAGATTCTGACTGGCCACGTCTTCCAGCTCGGGAATCACTTCGAAGTTGTCCGGGTCGAGGTCGTAATCGAACTCGTGATGGATCTCCTGGGACGCCGGCGGGCGCACCATGTTCTTGCACTTGGGCATGGCAAAGCTCTTGGGCATGGCTCGGCTTTTGGTTGTCCCTGGGACAGGAATCTTGATCTTCGGATGCACATTGGTGACTGGGATGGCTTGCTGAGTCACCTCGGCTCGCTCCACCCTCTTCTCGATGTAGTGCAAAAAGATCTGGTGTTCGTATTTCTGGCTGTTCTCGTAGTGCTGAGTGAACCACGTCACCCAGGATTGTTCTCGATCCCATACCTCCTTGAATGGCTTGCCCAGTTGCTGGCGCCCAAAGGCAATCTTCATTTGATCCATCTCCTCGAGGGACAGGCCTGAGAAGTCTGGCTTGGTCAGCTGGCTCTTGTCCTGCATCTGCTGAAGGCGCTTCGACAGCGACATGCTGATATCCCGGGGACTGACAGCAATTGCGATGAGGCTCACACTTGGACCTGTACGGCTGTACACTGGCTTTGGTGGTATTCTTTCCGATATCTGGAGTGAAGTCAGTGCAGGCTGGTGGAGACTGTGGGCTTGCGCATTTAGAGGGACCATTATGGTTATTTCTTTCATGTTGGTTATCCATGATTATTGAAGTCTTACTGGTGGGCTCAAAATTTGACTGTGAAACTGGTGAAATGGTGTGGCTCTGCATCAGCGATTTCTTCGGCAATTCATCGACTGTCGAATGGGTCTCTGCATCATGCGATTTGGCAGTCAGTTGGCTCGGTTGGCCAACTAGGTCATTGAGATCGACCAGGAAAAGTCCCTTGCTCGTGAGCGTCAGTGGGATGGTTCTTCCGGACTTTTTGGCAACAATGACTTGGGCTTTGGTGTCAATTACCGCTTCCAAGGCTCTGAGCAAGGTGTTCGACAGCAAAAAGGGAGTGGACCCTGGCACTATGGCTATTTTCAGTTGCAAACCCTCAATTGGAACTATCATGGCATGCTCACTTTTCAGGGTACCATGGTTTCCAAAACGGAACGTTATGTTACAAGCACATCTCTTGACTTCCTTTCGGATCTCGGGATGCAAACTGTTGAGGAAATCAGCAACCTGATTACTACCTATCACAGTCTTAGTTGCTCCAAGGTCCAACACTCCAAAACTACCATGGGTGGCGAAACAAGTTGATGCTTCGCGGCATTCGCTCATGGGAAGGTCTTGGCTGGTTCTGAGGGCTTGCACTCGATCATGCAGTCTGGTTCGGATCTGGGTGATGTCATCAATCCTGGCAGGCCGTGGTTCATCAGCAACCGTCTGATACCACTTACCTAAGGATTGGGCTAATTTGACTTTGGGGTCTATGTTACCCTTTTGGCTGTAGGCATGTTGAACAAAACTAAATGCTACATGAGGCTGAGCTACATCAATTGGAACTTCTTCAACCTGCGGCAAATGCAGGAACTCCAGGCTCAAGGCAGCTTCTTCGGTGGCATTTGAGGAGACCTGCACAAACGATGTCGGCACCTGAGAAGGTCTAGAGGAACCACTGTTGGACTCACCTCGAAGAGGACACTCTGCTTTCCAGTGACCAACCTTGTTACACAGTCGACATCGGGATTCTAAAATCCGCTGTTGCAGCGTTTTCCTCGAAGACCCTTGGCCTTTCGAGAACTTTCCCTTCACAAACTTGCCACTGCCTTTGTATTTCCCTTTTTGATTCACAGGCCAGAATCCACGGGACTTCATTTTGTCACTCAATCGACGACGAGCATCAGTGTAGGCTGTATATGCTGCAGCCAACTCCTCATCGGACTGGACAATGTCCACTGCAGCTGACTCGAAATCACTGATGAGAATGGCATCTTCATCCCCTTCCTGGACCAGGATGTCCATTACATCCTCTTCTGGTATCTCTTCAGGCACATCGGTTGACATGAGGGTGTCTTCACCTTCGATCTGATCTGAGAACATGGTGGCTTGACCATCATAAGTCTTGAGCTTGGTGATTTTCTTCCCGGACGTCACTTCCTGGAAAAATCCTGCACCCAGTAACCTGATGGCTGCGGTTACCCGCGGCATGGTCAGCTTGGCCTCAGTACTGGCTTCACATTCCAGCACGACGCGCTTCTTGTCCTCAGCACTGAGATTGGAACCCCTCAAAACGATGTAAGATTGCAGTTCTTCCAGTTTGATGTCACGGCTCAGCATTTCTTGCCATAACACATCTGCACGGGCTAAGAAACTGTCATTCGTTTCATCAGATCTTTGTGTACAGCGAAAAAGGGCTTTCTCTGCAGTCTCATACTTGCGTTCAAGAGGAATCTGACCCCATTGGCCTCCCAGGATCTCTATGATCGCCTGGATGGAGGCTTTGGAGTTGTCTGTCACCTTGTCACTACTCAGTTGCAGCTTTTGAAATGCAGTACCAGAGCATCCCAGGATGAGCCTGGTTGCAAGCTCTGTCCACTTACCATCGGGCCACATGTTCATGAGAAGCTTGACTTTCTTGGTGTACTCTTGGAGATCATCTTTGGACGGGTCAAATGTCGGGACCAGGACTGCAAGCTGATTCGGCACTAACGACGGAGAAAAAGTCTCTGATGCAGCCGCTTCAGTCATCCCTGGATCCAACAGCAACGGAGCTGAGCTCCGCTACCAGTGTGAATAGGACTTCACTCACACTGGCAACGGGCTCCCCAACCTGCAAAGCTGAGCAGCAGCTTTTCCAACCAACGCACAGCGTCAAAACAGGATTGCCCTAAATGGCAAGGCTTTATGGATATGCAAGGGTCGGCCACGACCAGAGTTGTATGGAGCCCCAGGCTCTCTGCAAGGACGGCCTCGTCCAGATCTAGCAAATGGCTCAACGCACGCTATCCCTCCCTCTTACCTTGACCCTATGGGCTCGCCTGAGCCAGCGTGTTCTTCGAGAGTGAAACTGATTGGAAAACCTGAAGGCTGGAAGGGACAGCATGTCTACCTATGATCTTTGGTGGATGCAACGATGTGGGATTTACAATATATATATATATATATATACGTTGTTCCCTGCTGTCTCACAGGTTTTCCCATCCAGTTCTGGGGCACAGCGAGGTAAACGCATGTGAGGTGTCGCAGCAATGGCTCCACACTCTGCAACTCCTGCAGGGCATTGACCAGACAGAGCTGGCACGCGCGGCAAAAATGTGAGTCGTGGTGCCAAAGTTTGATCATCTAAAAAGATTGATGTTGGTAAAAGAATTTCATAAACCATCCCCCAGTCATCACCATGTAAACATAGGTGGTATAAACATGTATAAAGCATTCCCAGTCATGGGTGGTTTATTATTGTTTTACCCACATTATAGGGGATATTCAGGGATGTCCCATTAATCTAACTGGTATTGTTTTACCCACAACTGGTTGGGGATGGTTGGGTTGAGATGACACCAGAGCACGCTGGGATGGGGGGGGCTTGAAGCAGGTTAAAGTCCCAGAATGCTTAACAGATCTTAACAGATCTTAATAGTATCTCAATAGATCTTGATAGTATCTCAATAAATCTCAATAGAATCTTAATAGGATCTCAATAGTATCTTAATAGTATCTCAATAGGATCTTAATCGTATCTCAATAGGAACTTAACAGGATCTTAATAGATCTTGACAGTACTGTATCTTCTACTTGGCAGCACAAATTCCAAGAGGCTTGATTTTTTTCGACCGCCAATCCATGGTCATATTCCAGCACTGAAAAATACTTAATCGGAAGATTCGAAGATTCACTGCTTGATATGGATTGATATGGATCGATAAATCCCATTTATGGATATCAGTCCATAATCATTTCACCAACCATAAATATCCATAAATATGGCATAAATAACCATGAATATCCAGGCCTTATGGTTGGTGAAATGCCACAAGGCTACTACCCTCTGGTAAACAAACGTAGCTATTGAAAATGACCATTTATAGTGGATTTACCGATTAAAAATGGTGATTTTCCATAGTTATGTTAACGTTTACCAGCGGGTAACTCTCCAACCAGAAAACTCTCAGAATCTCCAACCTGCAAAGCGCGTCCGCTGAACATTCGCTGTGTCCGGCTGGGCTCGGCTGAATGTTTCGCATGGCGAAGAAATGGCTTAGAATAAGTCATCCTGGAGTTTGATAGAATATGGAAGCTTAAAGACAGAGATCTGGGAAGATGTTTGAAAACAAGCAAATCCATATTCTATCATAGTCTATCTATTTCAGAATGAGTATATATATATATTATATTGAAATGGTCAGAAGACGTGGGACTATCATGATTTGCGAGCAATACATGGGGATGGTGGTCGATCAGCTACAACAAGCTGGTCAATTTACCAACATTGATGATATTGTGGCTTCTTGCACCGGCCGGTGGTTTCAAATCTCGCTTGTTCTCATGGCATGATGTTCCCCAGTTCATGAATACCACCAAGCGGTGTGCCAGATGATAGATGAGTTTTGATTGCATCGTCTTGGTATTTCATGGTTTTTTTTTACTTCATGAATCATGCCTGTTTGAAATACAAACTATATACAACCACCATGGTGGCTGGGTCTTTCCTCACCTGCAAGACCGGGGGCAATGACCTTTTTGGGCAATCAGAAACATGGGTCGCACTAGGTCAGGATTGTACTATGTAACTAAACGTTACTATGTATACATATATATATACATATATATATGTAATACGTGTATGTATGTATTTATATATATATATTATACATTGATGTATATCAATATTTGATAATACCACAAGACTACAAGACTAAACCGAAATACTCCAATTCACCAATTGAGTGGCTCCGCTGCTACCCCATGTTGACTACGGATGGCTAGCACTGGGCCGGTACGGTCCAGACTCCAGGACAGTTGTGCGTCTTGTGCAAGAAAGAAAAGGGGAACTTGAACCTGGATCATGGATATCATGGATAATATGGATAATAGATGATAATAGATGATAATAGATGATAATAGATGATAATAGATGATAATAGATGATAATAGATGATGGATAGTGCTGAAAAGTGGGACACAATCAAAAGAAGCTTGGGTTGAGGGTCCCTTGGCCAAAGCAAATCTGCCATGCCAGAGAGGACTCTATCGGGGAGTATGAGCAGTTGTTCGACAAGATGAATCAGCACGCAGAGGTTCGACCCAAAGACCATGGCGCATGCCCAAATGGGTATGGGTCAATACCTATAGATACATTTTTAGTGGGATGAACATCCATTTACCAGCTATTTTGGGGTTCACTAGGTACCAGGGTTTTGACCCATCCCCAAATCCATTGAATTTCAACCATCCTGTGACTAAGAAATGGGCTTGTTCAAAAAAAAAGATCTTGGGTGAATTCACCAACAAAACCAGCAACATGTGGTCATGGAAAACCAACAGATGTCTCTTTTTCCAGCGAATTCGCTGGGCCAACATGGAATATTTTCCATGGCCATCAGCCAGGGGTGTAACATGCGTTAGTTGGTGGCTAACCCGGCCTATTTTGCAACGCAATTCACCAGGAAACACATGACAAAAAGAATGTTTAGATAAACATATCTAAACCCATAAATCCATGAGCCCATCGTTTGGATTAGACCCTTTTTTGTTGCAATTAAACCATTGAATTGGTTTATGTTCTTTTTTTACAGGAACCCCCCCCCCCGTATTTCAGAGCAAAAAAAAACATGATAAACATGGTTTCCGGTTAAGATGTTCCCAAGAAAACCAATCCAATGATTACCCTCTGGTAAACTAACATAGCTATGGAAAATCACCATTTTTAATGGGAAAATCCACTATAAATGGCCATTTTCAATAGCTATGTTAATTTACCAGAGGGTAAACCATATGAAATCCCACTGGTTTTTCAGCGTAAAGGTGGGCGACATAGCCAGCGCTGAGAAATGTCTGGCGCGGTGTCTCGCTGCGATGCCTCAGAAGCGGCGCATGATTCACAACACCATGCTGAAGGCGACATGATTCGGGACCGGAAGGATGGGAATTGGAAGGATACCCGGCCTGGTAATGACTGTTACATAGCTATTGAAGCCATGGCCATTGGATTGTGTGGATTTATCCATTGAAAATGGTGGTGATTTTCCATAGTTTTGTGTATGTTTACCAGAGGGTATCCCCAAAGAGTGAAATAGTTATTACTCAGGTTATAAATTTACCCAGATGGTGAAGCTAATTTGAGGTAACTGGAATATGGACCTGATTTCAGGCTAGTGAAGCATAGTGAAACATCATAATTTACCCAGATGATTCCTGCTCCCGAACCCCGGGTGGAGTGGAGTAGATTTTGAGGTAATCTTACTGGTGCTGCACGTAGGGAATGGGGGAATGGGATGATTAATAGCTGGTTGGTGGTTTGGAACATTGTTTATTTTTCCATATACATATTGGGAATTTCATCATCCCAACTGACTTTCATATTTTTCAGAGGGGTAGGTCAACCACCAAGCAGATTTGGGTTTCCAATTTCGGACCTTTACCACCCAGGGGAATGGATTCCGGTGGATGCTGTCAGGTGAAGCCCTCATTTATCAGGAGATCGCCCAGCTATGGATGGTCATGGAGAATTGTGGAATTGTAATACTGAGAAACTTGTGCTGAAAACGCTTGGCAATAGTATTAGTTAATCTTAGGTATAGATTGAATCTAGTTTGGCTTCGATATGTTTCTTCGATGATTATCATAGATGATCTAACTTTAGCTTTAAATGATCAGAAATAATGAGAATATATAAGAACATATGCATATAATATATATATATGCCAAGAACAATTGGATTGTTAAATGTCTTCATGAACATTCTATCATCGTCGACTGTGTGATCTCCCCATTCTTCCATGGCTCCACTCCGAGTGGAGGCGTGCGCCAATGCCGGAGCCTTCCGCCGTGCTGTGCTGGTCTTCAGCAAGATGTTGGCAGATGGAGAAGCTCAGCCTGCGATTCAGGGAGCACAAAATGGTCCGTTTTGAGATGTCCAAAGCTAAGAAACAAATGGTGCAAGAAAACGACGTCGGACTTGAGAAAAATGAATGTTGATGTGCATCCAATTCGTGGATCATGTAGAGCCATACCCACGAAAACTGATGGTTGAGAACAGGATCTACCCCCAAAACTAGGCGTTTTTTGCGATAGTTGTTCCACGACAAGATTGCCGTGGGGGTGTGGATCGAATTTTCAAGCCAAGGAAGCGCAAATGTGGACTCCCCAGTCATGAAAGGGATTTGTTACCATCCCTGATTGCCATTGGTGGATGATGGCGATATACCTGTCATGGGTGAAGCACCTTCAATGTTTATAGCATTAAGTTTGTTTCCAAGTTGAAATGATGTTCAGTTTCGGTTGGTGGTGTCCTTTGAAAAAATATTAAAATATCCTCATAATCAGAATATAGATCACATTCTTGGTTGGCAAGACAAGCCTTCTTTGTTGGTGAATCCCCCATATTTTTGTTGGGCAAAACCACTACTCTTAGTTCGTGAAGGTCAAATCACACTGCTTTTTGCATGGTTAAACCATGTTACGTTCCCATTTTCGTTGAAAAAACCGATCATTTTGGCCATTCAGAATCCATCTGCCAGACCATCTGCCAGGTGACCCCCTCCCCACGCACCTTCGGCAAGCTACTGACCTGCGCGGCACGCAGCGGCGAAGGACGTTGGCAGCAGCGCTTGATGCAGGTGGCGCCCGAGGCGCGGAGGGGCGGATGAATATAGTAAGTGATGGAAGTCTCCCAACTGGTTGGGAATTCAATGTGGCAAAATATGTGTAATTCAGCCAGATTCGTATGGTTTTCCTATTATTCTATATTTTTCTATATTTTTCATTATTTTTCTATGTTTTTCCTATGGTTTTCCTATGGGTTTTCCTAGGGGATTCTTGGTGAAACCACCATTTTCCCCTGGTTTTCCCTGCCCAGTTGAGCCGCTTGGACGGCTGCAGCTGGGGCGCCTTGCTGGATCAGCTGGCGCGTCAAGGGCAGACGGCCGAGGCGTTGAAGCTGATCCAGGCGGATCCGCGGCGAAAAAAAACATAGGAAAACCCATGGGAAAACTGGATCTGGTTGGTTATAGGGTATATGATGGTTATATACCAACAATAGTGGTTAATAGTGGTTAAAACCATAGGAAAACCATGGATGTTAATAGTGGTTAATAAGGTATAAACCAACAACAATGGGAATATGATGGTTATATACTGGTTGGTGGTGACTGGAACATGGCTGGATTATGACTTTCCATATATTGGGAATGTCATAATCCCAACTGACGAACTCATATTTTTTCAAAGGGGTTGAAACCACCAACCAGGGATGTAACGTACCTGAATTATCATGGGATTTATGTCTGGGTTTTTTTAAAGGTTTGTTTATTTCCCATGTCGTTATATGGGATTATTTGTGGTTTTATATGGGATTTATGATGATTTATGTCTGGGATTTACGTCTGGGTGGGTTTATGTCTGGGATATTTTTTCAGATAGCCTAGAAAATCCTAGAAATAATTCAAGTATGGATTTATATAGTATGTTTTCACGAAATTGAATGGGAGGTATTGGGAATTACTGGGATGTAAGTATGGATTTAGTGGAATTTTAATGAGCTTTATTTGGATTTACTGGTATTGGAATATGTGATGAATACCCGGTACCCTCTGGTAATTTAACGTAGCGAAGTGGAAAATCACCATGTTTTAGTTCCATCGAACTAAACGGCTATGTTGAATTACCAGGGGGTATCTACAAAGAACTCACTATATAGAAAAGAGGTATGGATATGTATACTTAAGTATGTATATAATCAAATTAGATGTATGAATCAGAACAACATGTTTGCTACATGAGATAGACACCGGATAATATGTATATATACATATGCAATTGCATATGTGAGAAAGCAAATGTGTAAATGTCAGTGGTGTCAAGATATGTTAATGTTAATGTATGTTTTGTTTAAAGTTTAAGTGGGAAAGATTTTGATGTGGGAAAAATGTTATTAGACATCATGTTTTGACAAATACATACAGGTTTTCATCGGTTGATGTTTGTCTTACAGCTCACGCATGGACAGCAGCAGCAGCTACAGTACCTGCCTTGTGGGAAAAAAAATGGCATAGTTTGGTGTGTTCTTCACGCGGTTGAAAACTGATGGATGCGATATCATACCCAACTCCGATCTAAACTTGCAATTTGAGAAAATTTGGTCTTCGCGGTGGTTGTTGTAGGTATTCGTGTGCTATTGTGGCACGCATCGAATTTGTGCCGACGATGCCTTTGGAGGTGGAGGGTCAACAGACCCAGAGATATTCCACCTAAACAACTAACAACTGAAAGCCATAAACAACCCCAGGTTTCATAAGAAATCCCATAAAACAACTCTCAGAAACCTATTTTTTCAGTAGCCAAGTTGGCCATCCAGTCATTCCGTCGAGGCCACTGGCATGTCGTTGGACCAGAAGTCCATCGGGACCATGGTCACAGCCTTTGCCAAAGCGGCGCAACCCGAAGAGGCCGTGCTTGGGACTAGTGGCGACAATCAGATCAATCAGTTTCACGAAAAGAAACAAGAAAATACCAGAAACATGGTCACCATATTGTCACCATCTAAGGGTTCAAAATCAATGACGACAGCCATCATCAATAGTACTGTATGGCTCTCGATTGTATTATAAATCATCACCATGATGATAATAGTATTACCATATTATCACCATGATAAACGTGATAAATGGTATATTATCATATTATATTATCATATTATTACCATATAATTACCATGAATATTACCATAAAACTATCATATTACTATAATTTATATCATCACTATACTATCATATGACTATAAAACTATCATATTATATTATCATATTGTTACCATATAATTACGAGTAGATTACTTTATTATTGCCATAAATCATCGCCACTTTCCATGGTCCATCCCCAAGCTGGAGGCACAACAGTGGCTTCACAAGATGTCGCCCCCCGACCTGGAAGCCTACAACAGCGTGGCGCACGGCTTCGCCAAACGGGGCCAGGCGGCCAAGGGCCGAAGGGGGCAAAACGAGACTTTTTAAGTGGCCTTTATATACACTATATCTTTATAAAATATGTATATTTGTAGATATAGGTGTATATGTATATATATATATATATACACCTATGTATTTATATATATATATACATATACCTATATATATATATATACACATATATATATATATACACATATATATATAATTATATATATATATACATGTATAGTGATAACAGATCTTACCCCTACCACCTCCTCAGCTTTTGAACCACGTTTTCCAAGAATCGAAAACTGCGGTTTTCGACAGATCTCAGGTGGAGGAGGTGGAGAAATGGCTGAAACGCGCTGAAGATTTGTCCTTGGACCTGAGCATGGTGAGTTTCTGAACTGAGACTCAGAGTGGATCGAGTAGATCTGAAGTTTTTGCCATTGCTACAAGGTGAGGCTCCCCAGTTACGTAAGTTAAGTAGTTTATAAGCCCATTAACCATAGTTATGTATATACTGTATACGTATATATACATATGTATCCCCCATAAACCCTAGTTAACCAACTTATTTGCATCAACTTAGCTATCTAGGGGGGCCTCACCTTTTGATGGAAAACGGACCATGAAAATATTAATGATTTGCCTATTGAAAATGGTGATTTCCATACCTGTGATTACCAGAGAGTAGCATGTAGGTAAAATAATCCATAAATGATGATTGGTTGATGATTGCAACGCGTACTTCAAGAATGTGCAACCTGAAAAATGGGTTCACATGTCTTAATGGAACTGCCGAACATGACCCTTGTTGGCTTTGATGTTCAGATTTGGCAGTGCAGTTGATAGAAGTCCGGATGACTAAACTCTGGGTGGTGAATTTGTGGAGCCCATCATCCACCATTTGATGGATCAAAATGATCGTGCTTGCGGGGAAATCAATAGTTAGTCTATCCCTGGTTCTTGGACACGCCTATGAAATTTCAGCCGGAAACAGATTGTGACAGTCAGAAATAACTAGTGAAGCGGTACAGTTGGAGATTAATGTTTTCTATTGTTGTCCTGTCTCCATGTGAAGCTTGTCTCAGATAGGTTCAATTTGGATGGCAAGAACATTGATGCAACTCTCATCCCTGTGTTTTGCCAAGGTTACGGATGCTTGGTGGTGACTTGACTTAGATGATGGCGGGATGAGCAACTGGAAATGTGCGAATCTGCAAATACCAGCCAAACGTTTAAATGCGATAAAATGTGTATATATATATATATACTCGTACATATTATATATAGTATGTGTATGTACATATATATATATATAATACACACATGGATATCTACCTACATATACAGGATTGATATGTGGTCAGATGTGTCCTTCCTGTTTTTTGCCTTGAATAATTCACCCTCAGAACCCCGATTCAGTACTGGAGTTGTCCGAACTTGGTCCAGAATGTGTCACTTTGCTTCCTGCGGAAGCACAGAATGAAGAGAACTATTAAACCAGATTATATTCCCATGATTATATTCCCTATTAAACCAGATTAGTTCCACTATTAAACAGATCCACAAGACAGGGAGATGCTTTAAAATCCCATGGATTGGGCGGTATTTCATCGAGGTAAAGCTGGTCGGAAATATCGATGGTCGATGGTCAAGTCCCATTGACTGATCTGAATGACTAAAAAATGATCAACAAGGTGCATATGTATGTATGTATGTATGTATGTATGTATGTATATATATATATATTGTGTATATATATATATACATTGATATTATTATATATATTGATTTGGGTGATGGTAATTTTTAAGATCCAATTCATGCAGGATGAACCCTCCATTTGTTCTTGGCCCACCCGTCGTCCCAGGATGCTTGCGCCAAAGCCTCTTCTGCGCAGCTGGCTCTGCGCGCGCTGCAGCGCGCCAAAGACGCGAAGCTGCAGCCCAACGCCATGACGTACAACGCGGTGGGAATGGGAAGATGGGAGGATGCGAGGTGTTTTTTTTGGCGCCATAGGACCTTGGATGATACATGCGATGCGGATACAATCACCATTAATCACCAAATCACCATTTATCATCACAAGGTGATTAAGGATGATAAATGGTGATTGAATTAAGAATACCTTGGATATAGGAGGGAAAATCTAGGGCTAGGGATTGATGGTAACGTTGATTCATCCCAGCAAGGACAATTAATGGTGATACAATTGTTATGTAGTGGGAATGAATGGTGATTCGCCACCGGTTTCATCAAACATGGCTGGCTTCCCATATAGTGAAAATGATATGATATGTCTAGGATCAGATTGCATGATATACTAGATAATCCCCTATGGGCTATATGATACTAATATGCTAGATAGGTGGTTCAACCACCAGCCAGCACCAGCATCACCAGCTCAGACGCATTCATGGCTCAAGTGATGCAGCTCTGACTCAATCCCGCGGATGTGATTCCCGGCAGAGGAGCGAATACCTGCGGAGTGTCTTCCCGGAGTTTGGGATTTACCCCAAATCCGCAGAAAATCACGAGGAAAATGGCGGATGGGCCACCAATCTATGGCCATGAATCAGTGGGTAAAATATGGGTATGGGTCAATACCTATTAATACCATTTTTAGGGGGATGAACATCCATTTACCAGCTATTTTGATGTTCACCAGGGGTACAAGGTTTTGACACACTGCCATATGTAAAATGGTGTTCTCAACCGTTTTCATCAACTGCAGCGCGAGGAACAGAAGGGTGGCCGTGAAGCTGGTCCATCCACGGTGAGGTAAACCTGGTGGCATCACCGTCAACCCGACACCAGGTGGAAAGGGGTATCACCAGCAAACTGAACCATGAGCCTGTACATGAGATGGAAACACAAGGATGATGAGCATGTGTTTTTTTCTGATTACATACATAGTGATGGTGGTGGTGCTGGTGCTGGTGCTGGTGCTGCTGCTGCTGCTGCTGCTGCTGGTGGTGGTGGTGGTGGTGGTGATGGTGATGGTGATGGTGATGGTGATGGTGATGGTGATGATGATGGTGATGGTGGTGGTGATGGTGATGGTGATGGTGATGATGATGGTGATGGTGATGGTGATGGTGAGGATGAAGATGAGAATGAGAATGAGAATGAGAATGGGAATGGGGATAGGGATAGGGATAGGGATGAAGACGAGGATGAGGATGAAGATGAGGCTGAAGATGAAGATGAAGGTGAGGATGAGCTGGTGCTATTGACAACCAAGCATTCTCATTGTAGATTGTTTTTTAATCTACGGATGGTGATGAAGATGTCCGTTCCGTTGTGATGACATGTGTCTCTCCATTTCTATCATAATATATATATATATACATAAACAAAACAGGAATCTCCAATAGATCGGACAGATTTTGCAGGATCTTGTAGATGATGCTTGTCTCATGGTTTCTAAGGTTCCAAAAAATTGGGGAGCCAACTTGTCCAATGGCTCCAGGTGTGACCCCATCATGGCCCCGTCATGGCGCTGAGCGCAGAGAGATTTAAGGAGCTGAAGATCTTCCCTTGGACCTTTGGAGGAAGAAATTTATCTCAGTGATACGGTTGATAGGTGGTAAACATCCCATTATTTACAGGGTTTCAATGGGTTCATAGGTGGTAAACCCATGTTTCAATGGGTTTCAACCATCCAAGGTGATGCAGGATTTCGCAACCATCCACTGGAAAGTTCTGGGTTCTTTGAAAATATGTTGGTTAATGGTGGGAAAATCATCCGAAAATGGTGCGAAAAAAAGGCGGGACCCCTTTCATCCCGGAAATTGCCATGAATTGATGTTAAGTTGAAAGGTTAATATTATAAGAATCTCATAGCCACAGACTGAGGTATGAAAAAAAGATATTTTTATCATTTTTTATCCCAAGATCTTTAAACAAAACATCATATAAATCATCCTCTCTTTTATCATCTGAAATGGTTATCTTTTTGATTATCTTTTGTTTCTTCGTCTAACCAGCCTCTCTTTTAACATTTGACAGGGTTATTTTGTTGATTTTTCTTTGTATGGATTGTCAAAGGTTTTTATCCTCTGTGTTTTCTATCACGTCGTCTTTTCTTTTCTTGACTTTCTTTGCTACTGCACTTCCTCTCCTGTCTTCTCCACTTGATCTTACCCTTTAAGTGTCGTTTCTTTGATGTGGGCTATATATACGTATATATGATATATATATATATTTATATATCATAATGAAATCTATTAAACCATATTAAACCATCAACTGGCTTTATTTGCCTGCGCTTACTGTCCCAGGTCATGGATGGCTGTAGAGGAGTGTCAATTTGGGGATCGCTCGACGCAAAGTAGCTATGCGTTTTGTTTTTGTGTTTGTCCCCTTGCTAAAACTTAATCTGTCTTAATTTACTGTACAGTTTTCATTTTTTTCATTTGGTTTTCAAACAGTTCATTGATGTATCCATTGTTTTTGAAAAAAATTGTTTTATATTGGCGCCCCGCAGAGAAGATTCCAAAATCACAAAAAAAAACATAATTTAAATCATCGTAGAAATCATTATTTTCTCCACTTTTGCAGTGGCTTGCCACTTTTTCAATCATTTTGAAGCATTTTTAAGGAAAACGAAGGGAACATCCCAAAAACGATGATTTAAACGATGATTCAAACGATAAAAATGATAATTTCCCGCAGTTTTATCATGTTTTTTTTCGTTTGAAAGCTGTCCCGAAGTCATCGAAAAATCATCGTCGAAATCATCATTTTCTCCATTTTGGAGCATTTTTGAGGAAAACGAAGGGAACATCCCAAGAACGATGATATAAACGATGATTCAAACGATAAAAAAATGATAATTTCCCGCAGTTTTATCCTTTTTTTATCGTTTGAAAGCTGTCCCAAAATCATCGAAAAATCATCGTCGAAATCATCATTTTCTCCATTTTGGAGCATTTTTGAGGAAAACGAAGGGAACATCCCAAAAACGATGATTTAACCGATGATTCAAACGATAAAAAAATGATAATTTCCCGCAGTTTTATCATTTTTCTATCGTTTGAAAGCTGTCCCGAAGTCATCGAAAAATCATCGTCGAAATCATCGTTTTCTCCATTTTGGAGCATTTTTGAGGAAAACGAAGGGAACATCCCAAAAACGATGATTTAAACGATGATTCAAACGATAAAAAAATGATAATTTCCCGCAGTTTTATCATTTTTTATCGTTTGAAAGCTGTCCCAAAATCATCGAAAAATCATCGTCGAAATCATCATTTTCTCCATTTTGGAGCATTTTTGAGGAAAACGAAGGGAACATCCCAAAAACGATGATTTAAACGATGATTCAAACGATAAAAAATGATAATTTCCCGCAGTTTTATCATTTTTCTATCGTTTGAAAGCTGTCCCAAAATCATCGAAAAATCATCGTCGAAATCATCGTTTTCTCCATTTTGGAGCATTTTTGAGGAAAACGAAGGGAACATCCCAAAAACGATGATTTAAACGATGATTCAAACGATAAAAAAATGATAATTTCCCGCAGTTTTATCATTTTTTTATCGTTTGAAGGCTGTCCCAAAATCATCGCAAAAATCATCGTCGAAATCATCATTTTCTCCATTTTGGAGCATTTTTAAGGAAAACGAAGGGAAAATCCCAAGAACGATGATTTAAACGATGATTCAAACGATAAAGAAATGATAATTTCCCGCAGTTTAATCATTTTTTTATCGTTTGAAAGCTGTCCCAAAATCATCGAAAAATCATCGTCGAAATCATCGTAGAAATCATCATGGTTTCAACGATTCCCAGGAATTCTACCCAAAATCATCGTAGAAATCATCATTTTTCAGCATGTCCCAGAAAAGTCTCCCGGAATCATCCTAGAAATCATCATTTTCTCAACATGTCTCAGAAAGGCTACCCAAAATCATCCTAGATACCACCCTAATCCTACAAGTGTCCACAAATCACCCTAGCTAATCAAAAAGTCAGCCATCCATGTGGCTTGAATCCTTTTGGAACATGGGTTTATGAGTTTATCGGATACTCTCCGCTGGAATTGGAGGGGCATGATGTGACATAGATATTGTCGCTAAGTTTACTCAAATGACATAGAGATTAAACTAGCTTCTTTGGACCAAGATGACATCGAGATTAAGACCCGCGACTTATAGGAGAGCAAACAGAAACCTTTGGCAAAAAACAATGACAAGTCCCAGGATGGATTCAGGAAGGTTACTATGTTAAATGTAGGCTTGCAAAAAAAAACTTCGAATAGATTAGGTTTGATTAGACCTCGCTGTAGATGTTTTGATGGACTGTCTATCTATGCCATGCCTTTACGTATCCCTGGTTTCCTGGGGTCGGCGGCAGGGGCAGCAGCCCTGGAAGAAATCCTAGGACGGATTCTAGGATGAATTTAGGATGGCAAACAGTAGAGGATAAATCCCAGGATAAATCCAAAGATGAAGTTAGGAATCCAAAACGCAGGTGATAAATCCCAGGATAAATCCAATGATGAATTTAGGAATGCAAAAAACAGAGGATAAATTCCAGGATAAATCAAACGATGAATTTAGGAAGGTTCCAACGACAAAATATCTTTTTTGGGTTTTCCATTCCCTGGCTGACTAAGATTCTTATAAGGTTAATACTGGTTTGCTATCAATGAGAGTAACAATGAGCCATATCTGGTTGGTGGTTTGGAACATGTTTTATTTTTCCATATATTGGGAATAATCATCCCATTTGACTAATATTTTTCAGAGGGGTTCAAACCACCAACCAGATATACTATTTGATACTATTAAGATCTATTAAGTATATTGAAAGGTTATTTGCTCTTCGTCCAATTCACTGGTGTCTTGGTTGTGTTTGTGCCTTGCCATGGTCAAGAATTCTGTTGGGTGCGGTTTCACCGTTTCACCAGTTTTCTTTCCCCTGCAGTCCCACGGACTTCGAAGGTCATGTTTACATCCAGAATCCATGGTTTGCTGAAGATCATTTCTTATTTTTCCAATGGGAAAGTTACTTAGGGAATCTATAGGGAATATTCTTTGGCGGGGGGCTCCTTAACCAAATCCAAGATAAATCTCACTGGTGTGATACTAACACATTGTCGAAGATTCACTCTTTACGCTCAAACTCTCCCTCAAGCTTTGTGACATATTGTGACTAGTCAGTAGTGTTGTGACTAGTCCATTCTTGGTGGACTTAGTTCCGAATCGATCCAAACGATGACACACTTCATGTGCAGATTCGGTCAGTGTCATGGTCAGAGCTTGCGTTCTTTTGAGTTCGGGGGTGATCAGTTCAGGGTGGGAAAAAAAACATACCTTCCAGCTGTCGATGTTCCTGTTGATGGTGTTGGTGATTGCTCTTGTTGCAGTATCCCCAGCATGATTGTCGTTCTGCATGTCCTTGTTGCTCGTGACAAGAAGTATTTTCAACGAATGATGTTCAGAATTGAGAATGACATTTTATCAGAAAGATTATATATATCTCTCAAAAACAAAAATTGCTTCATAAACCAATATAAACCATACTCCAAGCCTCTCAGGAGCGATGTGGTTGATTGGAATATGGCCATCAAGTCCTGCAGACAGCGCTGGAGATTGAGCTGCGCACTGCTCGAGATGCTCGGCGCTAGGATTGCGACCGGGCAATCCGACTGGTTGATTGGTGTCTCGCGTAAGACGTTGATTGGGTTGATTGATGTTGGTTAGGTAGGTTGATGATGTTGATGAAATTACCTTTACTTTGTTGTTTCTCTTGTTTTGGTGATGTTGTGCCATACATTGGGAAACATATACACATATATATATATATGTATACCGCTGAATTAAGAATGAACTGAGTCATGTAACCCACTACTGTATGAGCAACTATGAAGAAAGAGGCATCAGAAAAAGGGCAAATCTGATCATTCTGGATGATGAATCACTTGATTTTGTGAAAGAAACACTTTGAGCAATTGTCGATGGGACAAACTTGGGATGTATTCGGACCGTGGTGATGAAAATCGTTGGTTGGCTTGTTGCAACCCTGGGGGCGGTGGTATATACCAGAGGATGTCACCTCCATTGAACTTCTTGAGAAGATCCTCTGGTGATCTTCTTGACATATCTTTACCAACAAGAATCTGGGGGAGACATCCAGCATCCTACCACCATCAACGGGGTGGTTTAAGGGAAAATCGGAAAGCATCTATTTTTCCCATGAAACATGCAGTTTTCCAGCATGTTCTTCCCTTTTTCACTCCAATGACAGCTACCAGGGCCATGCTTCACCACAGCTTGCAACCGGACATCATCAGCCACAGCACCAGCATCCCCTGGCTGCCCTGGAGCGCTGCCACTGTAGCGCTGCGGCGCATTGGTCATGTGGCGCTGCGGCCCAATGTCGTGACCTTCGGTTGCTCGGCCTGGATGAGTCGAGGCACTGCAGACCCCCTCAGCGATCGAATTCTCAGCCATTACCCTCTGGTAAACATACAAAAAACGATGGAAAATCACCATTTTTCATGGGTAAATTCACTATAAATGGCAATTTTCAATATGTTAGTTTACCAGAGGGTAAAGGTGGTGCAATCAATGCTTGCCAAAAAGCTGGACACTGGCAATCTGCTCTGCAACTTCTGGAAGCCATGGACACAGTCACAGTCATCCCCAATGTGGTCACGTTCAACAGCGTCATCAGCGCGTGTGAGATAGGAGCGCCAGCTGTCTAAAAAGCAACGGGTGGGGGTAAATCATCATAAAACTGTAGATGTCGCTGGTGATACTTTGCTGCCAAGAGACAGCCAGAATGATTTCTATGGTTTCTTATCCTCAAGATTCCCTGAGTGAGTAGGAACTGGTGTAGGATCATTCCCAAAGACCATCAGCAGCACGTCCTCCAGGTGAACAATGGGAACTTGCCGTCCATTTGCTCTCGATGCTAACAAAGTTTCGGCTGTTTGCCGATGAGATGTCCTTCAACAGCGGCTGGGTGGTGGTTTCAGGTACGTGTTGTGTTCATATATATATATATATATTCAACCCCTAAAAAAAATGATCCGAACATATATCTGCGATATATGTTAACTACTTGATGCTTGCTATCACCAAAATGTTTTGAGAAGAAATCTGGCCAGTGGCTTCCAAGGTTGTTCCATGTTCAACCCTATCAAATGAATCCCCAGTGACTGTCCTATCTGATTCTCTATTTTGCAGGCTATGGATCAACCACCAGCCTCCTAAGCCGTGACACAACCGCCAACTATCGGGGATAGCAACAACGAGCCAAGAAATTGAGTAGGGCAGTCAACAACTTCGGTATGGCTATGGGTCAAAACAGAAAACCATTCAAAGATCTTTGTATAAAACACCATGAATCACCATTACAAACCATTAAAAACCATGTAAACCCACCATGTTTCGTGGCCAAAAAAACAGCTGCCAGCTGCGCCAGGTGTGATCTCAGTCTGCGAGCGCTGCTGCCAATGGCAAGCGGCCATGGCTGTCTTTGCCGGCCTTCGGAAGACGCAGTTGCTGCCGAATCTCATCTCCTTTAACAGCAGCACGGCTCGGCATCAAAGATGCTCTCGGCATGTTGAGTTTCCATATCTCTTTCCATCCCTCAAAAATGGTATGCTTGCGTTTATATAACCCAAAAATGCCTAAAACTTGAGTATGTGTTTGGATCATTTTTTTGATGTTCCATCACTACAACTAAGATAGTGAAGGCCAAATATTGCATGCCTCCAGCCAACATTTCAGCTTTTTGTTGGCCAAAAAATTTCTTTGAAACCCTGTCAGCCTTCTGGTCCTTCGTAGGGAATGGAGGAATGATCCATACTAACTATTGATAATCGTCCCATTCCCCGATTCCCTACTCTTCCATATGTTTGGGAAGAATTGAAAGATCAACCCAGGCACCGTCAGCGCTTGTAGCAAGGATACACAGTCTTCCAAGGCTGTGGCACTTATCGGCAGCATGAAGGAACAGCGTGTGCGTGCAGATGTGGTCAGCTACAACAGCATCATCAGCGGAAACATGGGGCAACTGGATGCCTGGCGCAAGACTGGCCAGATCTTAGATGACTTGACGCCTGGTTGAGACATGTAAGGGCCTTAAAATTCTTGAAAATGTTGGTATGATGGGATGGTTCCCAGTGATGTTTGATCTTCAAAAGCGGTAGATCTTCCATAGATGGGATGACACTCCAATCAGCGTCATTGATTTTTGTTGGCAACTGCTCAGCGTAACATGCTGAGACGGTGGTCAGAGGACGGTCAACGATGGGTAATTCGCAGGATCATGACTTCTTTCCAATTGGCCCAGATCTAGTGGATGACTTGTTTCATCTTGTTGATTGATCCCATCCCCCCAATGTTTGGTTCCCAAAATAAAAAACGATGGATGCACTAGCAAGAATCGGAAGGGATTGTTCCACATTTCGCTGGGCCCCTTGAGGGTTTCAGCTCTGAGGGCCATCGCTTCGATCCTGCCCAGCTTGATCACTTACAACAGCTCCATCAGTACTGTGGATGCCTGGGAGACTGCGCAACGTGCCTCGGATGGTGGCAGGGACCGGAAGCCATGGCCCAGTTCCATGATTTTGGCGACTAAAAATGGTGATTTCCATGGCGAAGTGTTAAATTGCCAGAGGGTAGTCGAGCAACATCCAACTGGGACGGTTGCGCTGTGATTAGTTGCCGGGCCATTCTACATGACAGTCATCACTTGCAACCAACGGTTCACATCTGAATCGTCGAAACTCTGGCTGGTGCCTTCAATTTTGGCATCCAGCTTTTCGCTAGAATCTGATAGAATAGGACCGGATGTTCTGAATAGGATGTTCTCAAGACCGGTCCAACTTCCTGCGAGATTTCTCAAAAGGCTTGGTTTTCCAGTTGTCCTGGGAGTTGGCATCTGATGGGTCCATTGAGGTTCCCATTTGTGCTTGCCATACCCAAATCAAACCAATGAAGATTGAGTCATGGTGAATCCCTTTCAATATGTTTAATGAGGTTCAAATCCCACTACTATGATACTTAGATTATCTTAGATTATCTTAGATTATCTTAGATTATCTTAGACTCACAGTTTTGATCGCTAAATCGTAGACTTCATATGATTTCATAGTCAAATCTTGTGGGATCCACACTTTTGATGGTTAAATCAGCAGTGTTTGATCGTCAAATCCTCGGAAAGATCCGCAATTTTCATGGTTGAGTCCCCAATGATTCGAATTATTGATATTTAAATCATGCTCAATCCATTTGTTCTGTGGCTAAATTCTATGAAATCCATGTCTATATAATCCATGTTTTCCACATTTCGCTGGCGAAATTCCATCCGAATTTCCCCCTCAGATCTTTTGGCTGCCACCCCGGCCGTCAATTTGATGACCTTCAGCAGTGCCATCGACGGATGCAACTGGAGCCGAGCGTTGGAACTGCTGCAACGCTTGCCGCTGGTGCTGCAGTTGGTGGATTTCAGTGAAGTTAGCATGGAATAATATGGATAAAACATGATACAACCAATGAAGAATTGATATGTATATATAATTATATATATACACACATATTATATTATATATATATATCATATATATATATATATCATATATATATATATCATATATATATATATATTATATTATATTATATATTATATATTATATATTATATATTATATATTATATATTATATATTAATATCATGAGATGTGACTCTCCAAGGGATGAAATCAGCCAGTTGCGATATCGTTGTGATAGACTTAAAATGGGGATAGAATGGGATATATATATATATATGTACATATATATACCTTTGCTCTGATTAACACATTATTGAATTTCACGAGGTCTTGGGGTTTTGGGATTTTTAGGGTATATTGGGTTTCAAAGTCAAAATGCATCATTTCGAGCAACCTGCGCGCAGAAGGGTCGTCAGGAAAAGTGTTGAATGTTGTGATTTTTGTTGAATCAATGGTCCACAGGTCCAACTGGCGTTCCAGAGAAACTGAAACAGTCGGAAACAGTCGGAAACAGTCGGGAGCGGCCCGGCGTGATCATGCCAAAATTGTCAATCCGCCATTTTTTTGCAAAAAAAAAACTTTCCGCGCCATCCCATTTTTTTTTTAAAGTGCAACGGGAAACAGTTGGAAACAGTTGGGGCTCGTACCTTTGACTCGGCAAAAAAAGAGCTATTTAAAACCATTTAAGGTTCATTTTCTTTATAAACTGGTTTTAAATAGCTCTTTTTTTGCCGAGTCAAAGGTACGAGCCCCAACTGTTTCCAACTGTTTCCCGTTGCACTTTCAAAAAAAAATGGGATGGCGCGGAAAGTTTTCTTTTGCAAAAAAATGGCGGATTGACAATTTTGGCATGATCACGCCGGGCCGCTCCCGACTGTTTCCGACTGTTTCAGTTTCTCTGGAATGCCAGTTGGACCTGTGGACCACTGATTCAACAAAAATCACAACATTCAACACTTTTCCTGACGACCCTTCTGCGCGCAGGTTGCTCGAAATGATGCATTTTGACTTTGAAACCCAATATACCCTAAAAATCCCAAAACCCCAAGACCTCGTGAAATTTAACATAACACATTTAACTGCCAGTTTTTCGCGGGTGGAGCAGTTTCCTAACTTCGGATCAGCCAATCTCAGGGCCCCCAACTGATGATCCAATAGGTTGAACATGGCTGTTATTTTCCCCAAGGGTTGGGATGATGATGCAATCTGACGAACTCCATCATTTTTCAGAGGGGTAGGTATACCACCAACCAAATTCATTCAATATGAAAAAGATTTCCTTTGAAAGGGGTCAGCAAGATGAAACAGGTCCTGGACTAGAATGTTTACTATGCGCGCTCGCGCCGTTTTCGCAGACCCGCGTGGACAGTAAGCATGCCTGTCCAAGATCGCTTTCATCTTGAAGACCCCCTTTCAAAGGAAACTGTGTCTCTGGTAAAGTGGCTGGAGCAGCCACTCACTCTCAAAGTAGAGTGGCTGAGTGGTTGGTTCGATTTTTCGTACCATGCTCTTCATCTGCATAAAACTGAGTTGTATCAACAAAACAAACCTTCCCACACAGTGTCATCCAAAAGAAGGTGCAATTACCCGTTGATCCTCCCCCACGCCCCAAACTCCACCTGTCGCAGATCTAGGGTAGTGGTGGCCTTTGGGTCAGGGTAATGGAAATATATCCCCTGTATAAAATTGAACACCATGTCAATATGTTGCAGCTGTTGGTATAAAATCAAGGCTGCATAGGCCTATTCTGACCATTGTTCGTACCATGTTGTTAGATGGGGGGCCCCTTGAAGGTACAGTGCCTCAATTTTGTGGGTAACTTTGGCAATAAACCAAGAGTGCCTCATGGCTTTCAATTCTGCCCGTCTAAAACTTCATGTTTCCACGCCACAGAGAGACTAGTCATTTTCCACCACATTCTCCATACTAGTAAATCCCGAACAAATTGGTTTTAGGTGCGTTCTTACAGGAAAAGCCCAACAAGTTTGGGTGGTAAAAGCAGGGTTTCCTGTAAAATTGCCATAAATCAATCTAAGGGCTTTCACAGCTCCACCCCTGGCATCAGGACATGGAATGGACTGGTGCCCAATGTGATCGCTTACAGCAGTTCCTGGTCCCACTTGGGGCCCTCAAAATGGCAATTCTTACCCCCAATCTATGGCAATGTTCATGGAAAAGATGATTATGAAGTCTCAAAGTTGGGGGTACCCTATTTTCAGACCACGAGGTTTTTGCGTATCCTGCCATGTTTTGGACATGGTCATCCAGAAAGATGGATCCTCTTGATCCAAGAGTTGCTCTTTTGGTTGTGATGTGCGTTGGTTCAACGAGGTTGGGCCTGGCACCAGACCGTGGTTTTGGTGGAGCAAGTGAGTGGATCAACGGTTCAAGGAGATTTGGGGGTTGCCGGAATGGAAAACAGCCACAAAAAACGTAAGTGATTTCCTCAGCTTGTGACATTCATTTCTCCACATTTGTCCTTAAAGGGTATCTGTCAAATTGTATCAACCTGAATCCCAGGTACAATTGCCTCGTGTCAAAAAGCTGGCCGATGGCCCACGGCTTTACAGCTGCTCTTCGTCATGGATGCCACAGCGGTGGCCCCGAATGTGGTCAGCTTCAACAGTACCATTGGTGCTTGTGAGACAGGACTGGGCTGCAACCCCTGGTTGATGAGTTCGTTGATACCAAGATTTCATTGGCGATCACACCATGTGGGGAATCAAAGAATCCAGCCATCAAGGGACGATTTTGCCCCATTCGCAGGCCAGTGGAAGATGGAGCAATCACTGCGAGACGACTTGCAGGTAAGCCAATGGTGTCAAGCTGTCCAAAGAGAGGATCCTGACCAGAATGGGTGGGTCCAGAAATGGCCTAAATGCATGGGAATCAGGGTGTTTTCCCCTCAATTTTCAGACAAACAGAATGTTGGTGTTTTCCGACCTAGACCAAGAAATTACGGATTCGTGGATCAGCAATGTTGAAGGGTTGCATCTTAGCGACTCAGCAATGTACTCCAGCATCTTTGGCATGATTCTTTCAAAGCATCGTTCATGTTTCTGACTCAAGTGTTTAGGTCGTTGAGTCGGCTACAGGTACATGTGTATGTGTATAATTGTATATATATATATATAATCCCCGTTGCCATTTCCTCCACAGAATGGGAGGGGTTGGGGTGCCTATAAGGCACCATTCTGTGGAAAGTGGTTCCTTAAAATGGGGTCGAGCTTGCCATTTTGTAGTAATTTGTGGGTTTTACCTGGTTTTATCATTTTTATTTTGAAGGCATGATCATTTATGGGCACCAAGACAAACCATTTTGTAACAAACAAAAAGCAATTTTGTTGATGTTTTTAAGGTATGCTTTGGTGGTTTAAAAAATGTGAATTAGTCATTGACAAAGAAAGATCAGCTAGCCATTCTGTAGAGAACCCATCGTTTTTGTGACTGGAACCGGAAAAAGCTTCCATCTGCAGAAGGATTGCCAGCACATTGTTGGCAAAAAAATAGAAAAATATTCATGCTGCAAAAGTTGCATGAAAAAAATTGGATCCACCTCCGAAAAGGATGTGTGAAGATGGACTAGAGGGTAAAAACCCTACAAATGGCACTGGGAAAAAGGCAGTTGACGCTGAGGTCTTGCCAAGATAGATGCTCTACAAAATGTCTCTGGGATTCTTTTGCAAAACTTAAGAATTATGTTAGTAAAGACAAAAGGCATGCGAAGTTGTTCCTTGTCCTCTTTGCTGCTCATGTCAGGTATCTCACCAGCAAGTCGCAGGATGGACGCAGGCAAGATGTAGTAGCTGAAATTGCCATGCTTGTGATCAAGTGTAGTATCTGCTCTCATTTGCCGAACTGTTTGAACGGTTGTCTTGCATTTGATCAAGTGCAGTATCTAATCTTATCCTGCCTTGCCTGATGTTGCTTTTAAATTCGATGACCAATTTAAGATCGAATGTCGTCGTGCCTTAATTCCGTTGAAAGTTTGCAACTTGCGTTCATTAAAGTTGCATGACATATGCAGTGAGTCCTGTCTGGCCGGGGACCCAAGAAGCTGGACCACCAAGCGTGGCTGGAAGTGGATGCTGGCAACGGGATCTTGTAAAACTTATTTTGGGTCTGATGAAATTCCAGACACTTTGCAATGCTGTGAGAAATGTAACGACATTGCTCGGTAAAATGATTGGTCGGATAAGTGGAAGGTTGCTGTGGGGCCAACCTATGGACAGAAGAATTCTGTTGCATTCAGGTTGGGCACCCACAGCAGCCTGGGGCATCGAGACCATGCATCCGACCCATCTTGGAGAAAACAGAGCGAGAACAGGCGGGTGGTAGGGAGGGCTGAGCATGACTGAGTCTTTGCAAAACTTAAGAATTAAGTTAGTAAAGACAAAAGGCATGCGAAGTTGTTCCTTGTCCTCTTTGCTGCTCATGTCAGGTATCTCACCAGCAAGTCGCAGGATGGACGCAGGCAAGATGTAGTAGCTGAAATTGCCATGCTTGTGATCAAGTGTAGTATCTGCTCTCATTTGCCGAACTGTTTGAACGGTTGTCTTGCATGTGAGCAAGTGCAGTATCTAATCTTATCCTGCCTTGCGTGATTTCGCCAATTTTGGTCTCAAGAATCATAACCCATCCACACTCAACCCCACCCACCCCTTTCATTCTCCCTTGGTTGAGCTGGATGGGAAGGTTGCTGTGGGGCCAACCTGTATGGACAGAAGAATTCTGTTGCATTCAGGTTGGGCACCCACAGCAGTCTGGGGCATCGAGACCATGCATCCGACCCATCTTGGAGAAAACAGAGCGAGAACAGGCGGGTGGTAGGGAGGTCTGAGCATGACTCAGTCTTTATGTTTTATAAGATCATGAATGCACTGGTTTGATCATTTCTTGACAAAATTGTCAAAATATGTGTGGATCAAAACAGGTGACAGGTACTACCACTTTGTAGAGCCATGGGTTATAGACAGACCATTTTGTAGGATGGAGACTGTGTACCGGAGCCATTTTGTAGAGAAAGGGGTTGGTTCACTACAAAATGGGGCACCCCAACCCCACCCAGGGAATGGCGACAGGGATTATATATATATATATATACATATATATATATATACACATTCACAGTTCAAATGAGCACAAGAGGAGCGATGATGGAGCGATGATGCTGCGCTACATCCGACCATGGGTCCAACATCTCCCTTTTTCTCTTTATGGCCGACGCGCACCTCAACGTGTGACGGGGCCAATATTTCGGGACACCAAGCCAATGGATGGCGTGGCCAGGGGAATTTGACATTCCAACAGAAGGGTGTTGAAGTTGTAAAGAACAATATTCTTGTAGAGTTTTTGAAAAGGTATGCGCCACGCGCGCATTGAATTGAAGGGTTTGGGTGACTGATCAAATCCACTGGATCACCTTTCGTGATTAGACGCGACTTGCGTCTCAAGTCCATCAAGGATTCTTCTGGACACCGAGATTCTGCGCCTGTCACCTGGACGACTCGCGACACAGAACTTCTGGCAGAATCGAGGATGTCGTGCTGGCTGTGCTGCATGAATGGCCACAGCGCCTTGCTGACTGCTATGTTCTTTGGAAGAATGGCCTTTGATGGCGTGATGTTGAAAATCGATTGGTTTCCCTGCACTGTGCAGCAGCTGAACCCAAATCAATGTACCAAGTCAATCCAAATCGTGGCAAATCAGTGAAAAGAAGGAATCGTCGACATCTGCAAGGACTGGTTCTTTACTTTTTGTTGATTTGTTGACACTTTTATTTCGAGATGTTTCCTGTGGACTTTCTGACAGCCGTTACCAGCCTCAAAGCGGCGTGCTGCACGTGGTCGTGGCAAACAGACAGCAACATTGAGGGACAGTCATCAATCCATGTGGATGTATATAGACTAAGCATGATTAAGCCCCAAGATGTTTGGATTCCCATGGGATGATTTTTCCCCCATCTTAATATATATTAATCACTATTAACTATGAACCACTATTAAGCCATGTAACTTGACCATGGTAAAAATATCGAGTCCTGCATGGTAGACACCGAAGTCAAGGATGCCCAGCAAGGAGACCCTTCGCTGCGGCTGGTGATTTCGGATATGGATGGATATGGACGGTTCGTGATGGTTCAAGATGTAATGGATTGTGATGGACATATTACATATCCAACAAAACATGACCAGTGGTTTGCGGATATATTGTGGCTTTCAAACGCTGCAGTGAAGATGAAGCCCACTTGTCGGTGTTTGAAATGTGTTGAAACCACCAGCGGCAGTGAAAAAGGACTGGTTGAAGAATTCAAAGGTCCCCTTTGCAAACCATTTCTAGTCATGCTGCCGATGTTTGGCACTCCTCCAACAACCAATTCCTTTTTCCCTGGGAACAGATCATGGGCCCTTTCCCTGGTCCGAAACTGCAGGGTTGACCGGGTTAACCTGCGCAGGTGCTAAGGTCCCCTTCCCAGCGAGGTGGGGAAATGTGCGATGAATGCCATGAATGCCAGAAGTGTAATTGGAAAAAAAAACATTCCAAAGTGCTGGGCTGGTTCAAAAGTGATTGTGTTGTCCATCCCCCGATTTCTGGGATGATGATCGCTTGTTGCCCATGGAGCTGAAACCACCAACAATCCAAGAGATGACCCCCCAGGTAGCTCTTTCTGCGGGTCATGGCACCTGTTCTCACCGAGAAAGCTGAGTTGAAGCTGTTCCCGTGGAAGCATGGCCCTGGAAGAGGGAGCTGGGAATAGAAGTGATGCCTCATCTCTGCTATCTGCTGGTTAGGAGGGAGCTGTTCGGAACTATAGGTCTCCATATTTCCTCATGTCCTATTAAATATGTAGCCAGTTGGAGCTAAGAATAGAGTTTCCGAGCGTGGCTGTGGGTTAAACTTCTAAGCTAATCATTCCTATATTTGTTATTTGGGGGGCCCTGAAACCATAAGATTTGCATGGCAATGCCACCTATATATACCTATATATATATACCTATATATATATACCTATATATATATATACCTATATATATATACCTATATATATACCTATATATATACACCTATATATATATATACCTATATATATATATACCTCTATATATATATACCTATATATATATATACCTATATATATATATACCTATATATATATATACCTATATATATACCTATATTATAACCCTTTAAAGATTTTTAAAGTATGAAAAATTCTCGGGGCACCCAAGTTTGGTCCGAGGAGCGATGTGGTCGATTGGAACATGGCGATCAAAGCCTCGAAGCAATGGACCCTTGGGCTCGTTCTCCTGCAGACGCTTGGACCGGGACATGGTGCAGCTGTTACCCTTCACTTCGGCTGGTGGCTTGAATGGGTTAATGGGTTGAAACCTACGAGAATAGGGATTTTACTGCAAGACTGGTGGAAATTATCAGGACCTGGTGGAAATTCAATCAACTGACCAAACATTACAAGAGGTTTGATGAGGAATGATGAGGTTTTTAGTGTATTGCACCAAACCGCAGACCTAGACTGGTTCAGTTCCTCCCCACATGGTGTTTTCATGTCACAACTCCAATGCCCAACAGGATTTGTGATGTTTTGCAACAAAAGCATACAAAGGCAGTGACAGGTGACATCAACCCAACCAAACTGTAGAAGATTCATCCACCGATTTGTTCCACATGGAATTTTCGCCCAAAACCCATCGGTTTTTAATGCGATCAGTTCCGGCTTCATCCCCAACCAATTTTTCTGGAGCATCCCCCCACCAGCCACCCTACCCAACCCAGGGCCATGCTTCACCACATCTTGCAGCCGGACATCATCAGCCACAGCACCAGCATCCCCTGGCTGCCCTGGAGCGCTGCCACTGCAGCGCTGCGGCGCATTGGTCACGTGGCATTGCAGCCCAATGTGGTGACTTTGGGTGACCCGGCTGGGCAAAACAGTTGAAACTGGCCACTTTTGGTGGGTGAGTTGTTTCATAGGGAACTGATGTGACATGTTCCATGTGACCACCTTCCACTTGAGGTTTAGCCCCCAAGTCCTGGTATTCCAATACCAACCTTGAATGTAGTCAAATCTCCCGCTTCCCACTCCCTGCTGCTAAACTTTTCTGGAGCTCCCCAGTCCCATTTTGGGTAACTCACATGAGCTGTGTGGGCAGGTCCCATGACAATTTGGGGCGCCCCATAAGTACATAGGGGTCACATGCCCCAAACACTGCTATTTACGAGGTTTCAGGCCTCTGACCCCATACCACTCAAATGATCTCAAATGACTTGAAATGCTCTTGTGGCGACCCTTGGTCTCAATTTCTGTGGGTTGCTCCCTTTAGGATAAGAGATCGGGGAAGACCATGGGAGGCCCAAAACAAAGCCACAAAAACCCAGATTCATGTGATGTCAATGATCGATTTTCAAGGGATTTCGCTGCAAAACCAAGGCCCACAGAGGCTGAGAATGGTTAAGAGTTATTTAGAGTGACTTAGAGTGATTTAGAGTGACTTAGAGTGACTTAGAGTGATTTAGAGTGCTTTAGAGTGATTTAGAGAGATTTAGAGAGATTTAGAGAAGGTATACATGTCAGGACATGTATGCCAAATGGATAGGGGTCAGATCTCTTGGGTCACATCAGACTCCTATGATTGTTTCATGTTGTTTGAAGACTGTGGTGATTTCATTTTTGGAAAAATCGTTGGTGATGTTTGTAAGTCATCCTACTCAATATGATGACCCACCCAGCAGATGGGCATCAATTTATATTTTCATGGGCATGGCTCCAAATTTGACCTGGCACAGTGGTGGACCTCGGAAACAAGTTGCGACTTCCTATTGTTGGATGGTAGTCCCGTTGTTTATCGTTTCCAGATCACTACGGGTCAAAACTGAAGACTACCAAAAAAAGTCGCCACTGATGCTCGCCATGGCACTTCACATGCCTTGGGTCCGTCTCGGTCATTGTTTAGCCATAGATAATCTCATGTGACTTGATGAGTCCTAATCATGCGAAGAAGCCATGTTTGAGTGTGTGTATTATTTAATATTATATATATGTATATATATATACATATTAATATATTATTTTCTGTACATATACATATACATATATATATATTATTATGTATTTTATGTTATAAAATATTGTATTGTATTTTATTATATTATATTAGATAAATCCGCATATACTTGAATGGACGCGGCAAACACTTTTTTCCGGACAACAGATGCAAATAGATCCCAGAATATATCAACCAGATTTCAATGTAACTGTTCAACTGGTGTACTAAGTTAAGTTGGACACCACGGATACACCTATTTGCCAGACATGTTTTCTGCGACTTGTCTGCGACTTGTTTTTGAGATGTTAGAGCATGTTTCAAGGTTTTTCACCACCATTCAACCCACTGAAACTTTTGGGGCTTTACTCTAGTTGTTCATGATTTTCCCCATCCCACCTCCACTTTCAAGCTAGGGCTTTACTGAAGTTTTTCCTGGATTTTCTCATCCCACCCACCTCCACTTTCAGGGCTTTCACTGTTTTCCGCCCATGTTTTCCGCAGGCGGTGCCATCAACGCCTGCCAAAAAGCTGCCCAGTGGCCGTCCGCTGTCGCGCTCCTGCGAAACGCGGCCATGGTCGGAGCGCCGCCCAATGCGGTCGCGTGGAACAGCTGCATCAGCTCTACAGGATCGAAACGGAGGTGACACTGGTGATATGGGGGGTTCCTTAAATGGGGATACCCCAAAATGGATGGTTTGTAAGGAAAAATCTTATTAAAGTGGATGATTTGGGGGTACCCCTATTTTAGGAAACCCTCATGTGGACGTTGGAATGAGATGAAAATACGAAGGATGATTGAAATAGTGTTATTTACATACTGTATGACTTGATGCAGGATGAGATGGGGTGAGGTGACCATGTTTGGTCTTCGGGGCATGGTGCTGGCTCAGTGGCGTGATTAGATCAGACCCCACAACATTGGAATACCACCCAATGAATGGAATCAAACATTGGATTGATCATCCATAACTGGTTGGTGGTTTGGAACATGGCTGTTATTTTCCCCAATAGTTGGGATGATGATCCAATCTGACGAACTCCATCATTTTTCACGGGGTAGGTCAACCACCAACCAGATAATCTATCATAATCTATCATAATCTATCCATATACCATCCATAGATCTACCCAATTCCGGGATTTTTGTTTGGCATTAGGTGAATCCCACGCTAGTGGATTGATAGATTAGCCATAGATCCTGAGCCCCGGTTCGGTTCCACCAAAACGACCCTGCTCGTCACGTCAGTGCGGTTAGTATAGTAATACATCTCTACAAGTCTCTACAATGAAATGGTATGGTTCGTAACAATACCATAACTACTAACCATATAATATATATATATATATGATATGTTTATCATGTGTGCAAGAGCCAAAATATATATGTTTATAATTGTATATACATATAACGAACAGTCTGACCATGTATATGTACATATAATATTTATATATATATATGTATATATACATGTATAACACAGATACATACTAGTGTGTGTATAACCCAGTTTGGTCCAGGGCATTGCCCACCAGGGGACTGGCAGATTGCCATGCAGCTCCTTGAAACGATGCAGATGTGGAGATTGACCGTCGATGTGGTCACAGTCAATAGCAGCTGGGATCCACAAAAATGGTGGATTTGTACCATGGGAAAAGTGGGGTAGACCAACAAAAATATGGTGGATTTAAGATGAGATCCATTTAAGCAGGTCTTTGGTAAATTATGGGTGTTTCATAGTAGAAATGCTGGTTTGACAACAATTAACCCACGGGTGATTTAATCAACCAGGAATGGAATTTACCCAACCAGGTAAACGAACAGAAGGATATCGCAAAATTTACCCATCTATGATCTATACATGGTACAGAGTCCACATGTGAATTTGCTGGATGGGAACTAATGTGTGGAATGTCCTGCGGTCGCCAAATCAGTAGTTGTTCCCAGTTGTTCAGCTCAGATACCAAAACTCTGGATGCATTGGCGAATGTTGCCAGCTCAAATTGGAACCAAGAGGGATAATTTCCTATAGAAAGATGTGTAAGAAAACGGATGGTTTCACTACTATAACATACTACAAATAAGAAAAGCTCTCCTTGTTTTTTGGTGTCCACTGAGACTGGCGGATGGCAAATCTCTCCGATGGGATGGGATGAGCTCATCAATGCATCACCTTTTGGTTAACATATTTTAACATAGCTATCGAAAACCTCATCGAAGGAAGTTTAGAAGTCAAACTTCCGACAATATGGACAGATGAAAAGCAGAGCAGGGCAGAGGCAGAGAGAAGAGAAAGATTAGAAGAGAGAAGATCAGAGAAGAGAAAAAGTCAGAAGAAAGAAGATGCAGATGCGCGAAAAGGTAGGAAAGTCGCGAAACACTGTGTTTTTCCAATGATTTGTGGCTCCGGAGGGTCGAAAGTAGGCTCGCTAAAGCGGCGGGTGCGGAGCCAGCTGGCCACAGGAGCGATGAAAAATTGCACGCCGTTGTGGCGCGAAGCACATTTCGAAGTCAAAATGTACAAAACACACCAGCGTCGGACCACTTTTGGAAGTTGCGATGTCGAAAAAGGGCACGCCGTTGTGGCGCGAAGCACATTTCGAATTCAAAATGTACAAAACACACCATGCTCGGACCACTTTTGGAAGTTGAGATGTCGAAAAAGCGCACGCCGTTGTGGCGCGAAGCACATTTCGAAGTCAAAATGCACAAAACACACCACGTTCGGACCATTTTTGGAAGTTGAGATGTCGAAAAAGCGCACACCGTTGCGGGTTCGGACCACTTTTGGAGGTTCAGATGTCGAAAAAGTGCACGCCGTCGTGGCGAGAAGCACATTTCGAAGTCAAAAGGTTAAAAACACCAGGGGTTCGGACTATTTTTGGAGGTTCAGATGTCGCTTTGCTTCGTTTCGCTTCACTACACTACACTACATTACATTACACTACACTCCACTACTCTTCACTACAGTACATTAATTACACTACACTACACTCCACAACACTACAACTACAACTACACAACTACACAACTACACTCCACTACACTCCATTACGCTCCACTACACTAAATTACACAACACTACGCTACATTACACTACACTACACTCCGCTACACTACATTACACTACACTACACTACCTTCCACTACACTTCACTACATTTCACTACGCTAAACTCCACTACACTACAAGTACAGCTACACAACTACACTCCACTACACTACACTCCACTACACTACACTCCACTACACTCCACTACACTAAATTACACTACACTACATTACACTACACTACACTCCACTACACTACATTACACTACACTACACTACCTTCCACTACACTTCATTACATTACACTACACTACACTCCACTACATTACAACTACAACTACGACTACACAACTACACTCCACTACGCTGCACTACGCTAAATTACACTACACTACACTACATTACACCAAACTACATTACATCCCACTACACTCCACTACACTACACTACATTACACTGAATGACACTGCACCACAGATAGACAGATAGATAGATAGATAGATAGATCCCTACACTACACTACATTACACTGAATGACACTGCACCACAGATAGACAGATAGATAGATAGATAGATAGATTGGAAATTAGATGAGTCAGAGAGAGAGAGAGAGATAGATCGATAGATAGATAGATAGATACATAGATAGATAGGTAGGTAGGTGGGTAGATAGTCAGAGAAAGAGAGAGAAATAGTGAGAGAGATCAATCACCTTTCGGTCCATCAGTGGCTTCGCTCTGCCATCCCTGAATCACAACAACCAACCTCTCCTATAGGTTTCCTATTTTTGAAACTTCCGCCACCGCCTTGTGCGGTACTACCTGTATTTAATACATCTGTTGAATATTATAGCTATACAGATGATCGAAGGAAGTTTAGAAGTTAAACTTCCGACAATATGGACAGATGAAAAGCAGAGCTGGGCAGAGGCAGAGAGAAGAGAAGAGTAGAAGAGAGCAGATCAGAGAGGAGAAAGAGTCAGAAGAAAGAAGATGCAGATGCGCGAAAAGGTAGGAAAGTCGCGAAACACTGTGTTTTTCCAATGATTTGTGGCCCCGGAGGGTCGAAAAGTAGGCTCGCTAAAGCGGCGGGTGCGGAGCCATCTGGCCAGATGAGAGATGAAAAAGTGCACGCCGTTGTGGCGCGAAGCACATTTGTAAGTGAAAAAGTACAAAACACCTGGGTCTCGGAGCACTTTTGGAAGTTGAGAAATCGAAAAAGTGCACACCGTTGTGGCGCGAAGCACATTTCGAATTCAAAATGTACAAAACACACCATGCTCGGACCACTTTTGGAAGTTGAGATGTCGAAAAAGTGCACGCCGTTGTGGCGCGAAGCACATTTCGAACTCAAAATATACAAAACACACCATGTTCGGACCACTTTTGGAAGTTGAGATGTCGAAAAAGCGCACACCGTTGTGACGCGAAGCACATTTCGAAGTCAAAATGTTAAAAACACCAGAGTTCGGACCACTTTTGGAGGTTCAGATGTCGTTTCCCGTGGCAGGCGCAAGGGATTGTGCACCTTCTCAAAAGTGAGCAAAACGTGAGGGTTAACTACAACCACCACTACACCACACTACACTCCAATACACTACAACTACAACTACACCTTCACTACATTCCACTTTACTACACTACACCACACTCCACTACATTCCACTACACTACACTAAACTACACTACATTACACTCACCTACAGTCAATTACGCTACAATACACTATACTACACTACACTACCCTACACTACACTACATTTGCACTACACTACAATACACTGCACTACGCTACACTACACTACATTACATTCCACTACACCACGTTACATTACACTACACTACACTTCGCTACACTACACTACAATTACGCTACACTACATTCCACTACTACACTACACTCCACTACACTCCACTTAATTACACTACACTACACTACACTACATTATATTCCACTACACTACACGACACTACATTGCACTAACTACAACTACAACTACAACTACAACTACAACAATACTACATTTACACTACGCGACACTACACTACACTAATTGCACTACACTACGCTACACTAAACTGAATGACACTGCACTACACCTACAACTACAACCGCAACTGCAACTGCAACTGCAACTACACTACATTACAACTACATTACAACTACATTACACTACACTAATGACATTACACTACACTACACTGCATTACACTACATCACACACTAACTACAACTACAACTACATAGGACTACACTACACTACACTACACTACACTAATTAAACTACACTACGCTGCACTACACTACACCCCACTCCACTACACTACCCACCCTTCACTACACTCCACTACACTACAGTACACTAAATCCACTTAATTACACTACACTACATTACATTACATTCCACTACACTACACGACACTACATTACACTAACTACACCTACAACTAAAACTACAACTACAACTACACTAGTTGCATTACACTACACTACACTACACTAATTGCATTACACTACACTACACTATACCACACTACACTGAATTGCACTACACTCACTAGCCTACCCCCACATTGCATTGCATTACATTACATTACATTACAACACACTCATTACACCACCACAAATGCACCTGCAACTACACTACACTAATTACACTACACCATAACTACAACTCCACTACACTAGAACTACAACTACAGCTGCACTACACCACACTACATCCAGCAGTTGTGGGTGAGGTGACGGACCAGGTGACCACTGCAACCATTGGAGCCACTCCAAAAAACACAGCTCCAACCACCTTTCGATCCATCAGTGGCTTCGCTCTGCCATCCGTGATTCACAACAACCAACCTCTCCTATAGGTTTCCTATTTTTGAAACTTCCGCCACCGCCTTGTGCGGTACTACTGGTAATACAAACCATGTAATATAGGTAAGTGCAGATAATAAAAATAACTATGAATAATTATTTTACCTATAAAAAATGGTGATTTCCATAGCATGATGTTTGGATTTCCCGGGACGGATTACCACCTAGAAAATAACCCCATCCAACTTGACCGGCTTGCAATGGCTGTCCAAGAAGAATATGGTGCCCAAAAAAAAAGTGATGCTTAATCATCATATTTGCCCCTGGAATTGCAATGAAATAGATGGGGCATGCCTCATTTCCAGACCCATTCGGCCAACCCGAGGTTTAATTGCCGTTTGCGAGCAATGCTGCCAATGGCAAGTGGCCTTAGCCCTTTTAGATTCCGGCCTGCAACTGGGGTCCCAGTTGCTACCGAATCTTATCTCCTTCAACAGCAGCACAGCGTGAATGTCCATCCCTAAAATGAGAATTTAAAATCAAAAAAGGAAACGCTGTTTAAAAAACCATTAAAACTAACCGTTAGCCTTTTTGTCCATTTTTCCAATAATTAATATGCTTTCAAGTTCTGGTCCTAAACCTGAGATCATGAACCCAGGCACCATCAGCGCTTGCAGCAAGCACTCCGAATCCTCCAGGGTTGCGGCACTCATCGGCATCATGCAGGAACTGCGTGTGCGTGCAGATGTGGTCAGCTACAACAGCATCATCAGTGGACACCTGGGGCACGTGAGTGCATGGCAAAGCACGTTTAAGGTGCTGGATAATTTGACTCTTGAACATCGAAGAATAGAGCATGTTGGTGTTGTGATGACTTCACCGCGTTTCTGATTTTCCAGCGGCATCATCCCAAACAATCAAACAATCATTTATCTGGTTGGTGGTTTGGAACAGCCGTGGGCTCTACACCTACCAGCAGGTGCGGCCGTGCCCTGCTGAACGTAGAGCGTCCTGTTCACCGTGTTTTGCCATGGATCTCATCATGGGCCTCGCTGATGTGGATACTGGTGGCCGACTCTCCGTTGTTGTGAAGGTGGTGGTTTTCGACCCTGCGCATGAACGCCACCTGGTCAGGTCTGTTCATACGGATGCTGTAATGGTTCTGGCTGGACTTTTGGATGGAGCATCAGACTTGCTCACTCTGTTAGATATGGTTTTGGTGCAACAGTTCTCCATTCCATCGCTGAAGGTGGATGATGGGACTCGGGTCTTGTACCACTCACAACATACATGGGAGGACTTCTACAAATTGATCGATGCTTGCTGCGGGTTAGGAGGTATGACTCATGGAGCTCACGCTGTTGGCATGCAGACCATGGTTGCTGTTGACTCCAACGCTCGCATGGTGGACTTGCACAAGGTCCACGGTGGATGCGAGTATGTGACAGGTGATGTTGGGTGTCCGACGGTGATTGCTGAAGTGTGGTCCAAGAGCAATCACGCTGCAGTTATGAGTGCAGGCTTTTCATGTCAGCCGTTTTCCCAGTTGGGTGACCGTAAAGGAGGGGCTGATCCCCGTGCAATGTCCCTCCCCAAAATCCTTCGAGCAGCACTGTTTCTGCGTGTCCGGATTTTGGTACTGGAATGTGTTGTGCCTGCATGCAGTGATCCGTTTGTTTCTCATCACCTTGCCAGGTTTGTTGAACTCTCAGGTTTTGTGAAGGAGAACATCAACCTTGAACTCTCTGCCATCTGGCCCTCTCGACGTCACAGAACATGGTGGGTGCTGTATGACCCTTGTTTAGGCAAGCTTGGCCTCACAGAATGGTTGCGTGCTGATGGACTGCCCAAAATCCAATGCATTATCCCATACATCTGCCGATGGGATCCCAGAGATGAGTTGGCGTTGTGCTTGGATTCTCGTGAATGTCAGGCATTTGGAGTCAATGATGGAACATACCCCAAGTATCTTATGTCTGCTGATGGGATTGCTCCCACTGCTTTGCATGCTTGGGGCTCTCAGCTCAGAGCTTGTCCTTGTGGTTGCCGTGACTTTGGTCTTTCTGCGCACAAGCTACAGGACAAGGGATTGTTTGGGCTTTTGGTCTCTAGTACCTCTGAGGCTATGTCTGGTCAGAAGATTCGACATGTTCACCCATCAGAAGCACTGGCGTTGAATGGTATGGATTGCACGATTGACTTTGGCCTCAATGTCCGCCTTACTCTGTCAGGTGTGGGACAGATTGCTAGCCCACTTCAGGCTGCATGGGTCTTCAGTATTGTGCTGCAGAGGATTGAGTACTTGAGCAAAGACAAGGCCGAGTACAGCCCGCTGGCCCACTTGCTTGCATTCAGGTCGTGGCTTGTCATGAAATGTCAGACTGCATGGCCGTGCACTGAGCAGGTTATTTCTGATCGTTCTCTTGCAGAAATGGTTGCCTTCTGGTATCCTGTGCGCACCCTGTCCCTTGAGCAGGTGGTGCATCCGAACTGGCTTGATGATCCTCCAGTGTCTCACCTTTCTGTGGCTGCAGCGTTGGATCAATTGATTCGTAAAGCTCAAGCTGAAGAACATCATGCACCCGCTGTGGATTTGACCGATACACCGTGGTTCGATTATCCTGTGTGTGATCCCAAATGTGATACCTCTTTCTCCGTTGGTGTGTCGGAGGTTTCTCTTATTGATTCTCAGGGTAGTGGTGTGAGTTTTCGCTTCCAGGCGGGTTCCACTGTTGCAGACCTGTTGTGCGCCCATGCCAAGTTAACAGGAACGATGAGGGTTGCGTCCGTATGTGACCAGTTTGGGAATGAAGTTCACATGACTCAGCCAATTCAAGTTGGTCAAAATGTGCAGATTTTCTTTTCGTCCAGTGATGAGGGTGTCACCTTTTCTGCTGATGACTCATGTATGCCTGCGCATGTGATGGGTCCTGTTCCTGAGCAGGTTGGTGATTCTTGTAGCGATGTCCCCATGCGAATTGTTTCTGGCCAGTTTTCGGTATCTGAGTCTCACCATACCAGTGCCTCTGGTGCAGTTGTGCATGAGGATGTGAATGATCCGCCTGTCGTGTCTCCGACCTTGAGCTGGCAACCTGATGTCAGCGTGGATGCATACCCCCATACTGGTGGTGCCACTCTGCAGTATCCGTCTAGCACAGGTCAAATTCATGCACTCTTACCATTGACTGCCAAGCAGTTTGTGAGACTTGCCGTGCCTCGCATTGATGATGCTCAGAAGTTTAAGGCTTTGAGACAGCAGTTCGTCTCCTCGTCGGATCGCTGTGCTTTGCTGCAGGCGCAAGGGAATGTTTGGTCTGATGATGAAATTGCATATCATCTGAGTGTGCTTGCTGACCTTCATGTACCCGTGCTCGTGCTGGATCCTCTTCTGTGTACTGCCTGGTTGCAGGAATGTGCCTTTCCATGTGCAATCTGGGCTAATGATCACCCTGAAGTTATGCGTGATGGAGTTCAGATCATTGGCGCTTGTAGATTTGACACACATTGGGTCCCGTTTCATGTTGTTCCGTGCAAGTCTCATGCTACTGTGTACACTTGGGATTCTCCAGTCAATGATCATTCACCACTGAATACTCTCTTGGAGAAGATTGCTCGTGGGCTGGGATTTCAATCTGTTCTTGTTTCAAGGCAGCAAAGGCTGGTCCCAGTGTCAGACAAATGTGGTGCTATGGCTGTACATTTCCTTCAATCAGCATTGAGTGATGTCCAGCTCCCGACAGTGAGTTCTGAAGTGCAGATTGTTCATGATATGCTCAGGTTCAGGTTTGCCGAGATTGTTCAGAAGTCTGAATTTGTCATCCGTCCTTGGATCTGGGGTGCTGGTGATGCCAATGATGATAGCTCAGATGAACCGAATGGTCCAGGTGATACTGGCGTGTCTAGTTCTCCTGTGGTCAATCGAGTCTTCCCAGTCGTGTCTCCCCAGTCTGATCCTTCCGTTGGCAGTGGGAATGCAAGTGACAGTGGCGGTGAAATTGTGCCTACTCACAGGAGTCCCCTGAGTAGCAGTCGTGCAGATGACAGATCAAGATCTCCATTGCGTCTTCGCCCGTCTTCTTGCCCGTCTGCTGGGTCCGCTGCTCCTGATGCTGTGCCTGCTCCCGATGCAGACAGCTTGCAAGCCAGGGAATCCGGGCCACTCCCTATAATGCCCGATGAGCCTGAACGGCTGCCTCGATACATTGAGCACACTGTTCTAGTGGGTGGGATGCCTGTCACTGCATTGTATTCCCTCAATATGTCCTCAGGCCCTTATCAGACGCGCCTCCGTGGCTTGTACGATGTTGGGGCTTACAGTCGTGAACTGTGGTCACGGATTGAATGGGAGGTTGCTGACTTGATTGCCTTGAGTAATGCCCAGATGCTCCAAACCAGGCCGCCCACCATTGACTCGCCTACCAAGTTGTGGGCCATCCGTGGCCAGGTTCTTCCCTCTCTGGATAGGCTGGCAATTTTGCGCAATCAGATGGGTGCCATGGCTGATGATGAAATGAGGTTCCATATGAACTCTCTTGCTGAAGAATGTCTACGAGGTGGTGACTTCCTACCAAAGCAAGTTGTTGTCATCGATCCACTTGTCTCTGCAGCCTGGGTTGATCCTGCGGCCTTTGACTGTGCTGAGTGGGCAGCCACGCATCCTGAAATCCTGGCTGAGGGACTTCAAGCCATTGGGGTGTTCTGCATTGAGGCACATTGGATTCCTTTCTTAATTACGCCTTGGGGCAACACAGTTCGCATTGCTTCCTTTGATGCTGCTCAAGAGCTTCCTGCTATTTTGCCCGCTTGTTTGATGCGCATGACCCATGGCCTTGGGTTTACTGAGACCTTCTTTGATCATGTGGTCCGACCATTCGCCATCAAATCAGCATGTGGTGCCGTGGCCATTGACTTCCTCCGAGCCCAGCTTGTTGGATTTCCTCGTTTGGGTTCCAATGTCTCTGCATGGGAGGAACATCACAGTTTACGACGCCGATTTATGCAGCATATTGGAAATTCCACTGAGGTACCCCGCCCGTGGTTCTGGGGTAATGGACTCCCTTCCGATGGAACTTTGGGTTCTGAATCCACTTTGCCTGGCCCTGCCTCTAGCAGCCCTTCGTGTGTCACTGATGTAGCACTTGGCCCTGCAGTGAGTGTAGGTACTCCTGGTAGCTCTGCTCAGGTGGCTCAGGAAGTTGTTGATGCACTTGCGTGTGTTCCATCTGATGGACTAGGTGCTTTGAAGGGTCCCACTTTCCTGACATCGCAACAATATGCTGCAGTTCGTAGTCAAATGCTTGCATCCGATGATCGAAGGAACTTACTTGCAGGTCAGTACGGCATCTGGGCAGATGATGAGATCAGATTCCATCTTCAGGCTCTTGCCGATCAGTGTAATGTTGTCAACAATGATCAGTTGGTCCGGCATGTTCGGGTGGTTGATCCTTTGATCACTCTCTCATGGACACTACAAGGGTCGATGTCAGCATCCGATTCTGCACGTCTCTTTCGGTTTGCCTACACTGAACAAGTTATTCTTGTTGGGACACTCAAGGTCCAGGAACATTGGGTGCCATTTCTTCTCTTCCCTGCTGGATCACGTGTTCGTGTTGTCACTGGGGACCACCAGGCAGAGATCCCCGCTCTGTGGATCAATTGTCTGATTGATTTTGCATTTGCTCTGGGCTTCCAATCCTTGCGTTTTGACCATACCCACCGTGACATTCGATGCCGTTCTGCATGTGGTGCTGTTGCCATCAACTTTGTTGGCTGTCAGCTTGGTCTCTCTTCTGAAGTCACCAAGTATGCAGCTGTCTGGGCTCTTCACACT